ACAAACAAATAAAAAACCAAATGAACTCCTCAGGGGGGGATGGCCACACTGCAACTCCTTTCTATTCTCCTCTTAGGATTCTGGGCATGCATATGCCTGCACCCAGCATGCTTTTCAAGTCACAGGTACGGGACTAGAACTGACGAATTGGCCATGTGAAATCCAGTTGCCCCAACCACCATTGGCACTCAAATTGACACTTTTTAAAAAGTTATGTTTATTTTCTTCCATGAAAGAGACAAAAAGAGAAGAGGAAAGAGAAAGACTCCTTAAAGCGTCTTCATACTGTGATTTGCACTTAGTCTCAGACAGTCCAAACCATGAGCATGTGCACAGGTACCCCATGCTCAGGGAGGTCTGGAGACATGAAACTTTCTCATGTGGGTCCAATGACAATATTGCTGTGCCACCACCTGGCCCCCTAAATTGCATTTTTGATGTTATTTGATCGTTTCAAGCTGTCTTCAACTTCTAAAATCTCTCTTTCTAATCACAGTTATCTTTTAAAAAGTTTTAAGGACTCTCACCACAGCTCAGTGGTTAAGGGAGTTGGATCCCATATGGCTGAACATGGTTCAGCCCTGGCTTTGGCTACTTGAAAAATATGCTGGGAGTGTGTGTGTTTGTCCAAAATCCCAATAGGATGGAGGATTAGATAAAGGACTGCAGTGTGATCACACCCAACCCTGAATGAGGGCATATACCCCCTGGCTAGTTAAAAATAAAAAGAGTTTTAATTTTGTCTTCTTGAGTCTAGACCACATATTTAAGTGCTGCCAGTATGATCTTTCCTGACTATAAAGAACTCTGAAAGCAAGTGTCAATTTCTCCCAGAGATTCTCAGGCTGCTATACGGATGAACAGTTCTTTCATGTTATTCAATAGGCTACAGTAGCATGTTTCCTGTTACTTCCATTGCCTTTTAGAAAATAAAACTGTCAATAAGGGAAATCTAAAAGGTAGATTTTAGTTAAATAAGACTTCTAGTAGCCATCTACCAGTTCAAAGCTTTTACCACTATTTCTTGCCATTATGCCAGTTTGTAAGGTGTCAAAAATGCAGCATTTCCTTGGAATGGTTATTGCCTTTGCAGATTTTCACACCATATTATTATTTCTACAAATCAGTCCTTTGATCTTCACTTAGGTAATCTCATAAACTATCTCCACATCAATTTTTATGTCATATAAACAGACAGCACAGTTTGTCTTATTTTGATATAAAATCTATGAATATATTCAAATTGTTAGACATGTAAAAAATTGTTAGAATAAAAAAGGACTTCTGGAATACATGGCCTTCATGTTATACATAAAACCTCCAAGATGCACGAAAGTTCAGTGATACTGCCAAGGTGATGTGAAGACACCGACGGCCTTTACTTCTCTATTTTATGGATTTTTGAAGGCTATAGCTTAAACATAGGTTAAAAATAACAAATAATGCCCCCAAATAACTTTTTCTTTTTTTTAAGAGATTTTTGCTATAGGGTGCATATGTTTGCTAGATAGACAGAAAGCAAGAAATCACCCCCTGGAGAGATGGCCATGCCATAATCCTTTCTTCTCTATTTTCCTCTTGAAATCTTGAGCTTGCTCGCACACGCACCCACTGTGAATTTTAAGTCACTGGGTCTCGGACTTAAACCATGGTCCAGTTTGTGGAAGTCCAGCAACATAACCATTACACCATCGGCTGGTCCCAATTTTCTACAATTTAGAATGAAAGGAAGCACATTCTTGATAAAAAGAAAAGCTGGAGTTGGCACGTGGTATGGTGGTTAAGGTGCTGGACTCTCACATGGCTGACTGTGGTTCAAGTCCTGGACCTGGTGATTTGCTTTCTCCCTCTCTCTTTCTGGCCAAATTGAATAATAATAATGATAAAAAATAAAAATTAAATAATTATTTAAAGATAGCTCTAATAGTTTAAATGAAATTCCATTTTTTCACCTTCAACTATAATATATGAATACTAGCAACAATTATTTTAGTAATAAAAAAGTTTAATACAAATGAAATATACCAACATTTATTCATAATTTATTTGAATAAACTCATATTAGATTCAGATTTTGAAGAGACAAAAAGCAGTGATGAAAGGTTTTTGGCCAGAGGGCGCATGCATTTCCCAGAGAGAGAGAGAGAAACAAAAAGAGGGAAAGGGAGAAAACACTCCTCACAAAGAATGGTCATACTCCAATCCCTTCTCCTCCATTTTGTCATCCTGTCGGGGTTTTGAGCAAGCATGCAAACACACCTAGCAGGTGCTGGGACTGGAACCGCTGGGACTGGCTATGTTGGATCTGGCTGCCATAAAGTCAGTATGGTGAAAGTGTTTTTTATGTTGATTATGGTCATGATGATGGGCCAGTTATGCATTTACAAAAACTCATAGAAATGTATAATAGAAAGGGTAAATTTTTACCGCATTTAAATTAGATCCCCAAAACCTAAACTTTAAAAATAAGTATTTTACTAAAAAGATACTGTACATAGTAAAGGTAATACTATAAGTACTGAGTTAGAGCACTCCACATCAAGGTAATTGTGCAATTCTCAAGGATATTTACTGGGTCACTGGAAAAGTCATGATGAATTTTCAATGCAAAAATGCATCATGAATTTTCTGATGATCTAATATATAAAAATTGAGGTTTTTTTATTTCTGAGTATATACACAAGAAACAAAAAAATAAATTCATTAAAAAAAAAAAAGAGAAAGGAAACTCACCGTCTCATTTCCAAAAAGTATGTCAACATAGGGCATAACTTTCATCAATGGTTCCTTGTAGAACTGGCTAATAAATGGTGCAGACAGATTCAATGTGAAAATCCTATTGTTCTCAGAAGCATGTCGAGCCACTTTTAATACTGACTCTGGGGAAACTGTAAGAAAAAAGCCCTGGATAAAGAAAAAAGGAGAGAAAATTAGAAATGCCATCTTCACAGAGTCAATTTCAATGGGAATAAAAGAAACTTACACAATATAAAAGCCTATGTAAAATACAATTATTCAAGGCAAGGCAGAAAATAGCAGTACTTGACAAAAAGAAAAGTTTATGAGTACTACATGCATGACACATGTCATTACTTCAGAGAATAAAACAATACTTATTTAATAATAGACTTATATGCTCAATACTGAAAGAATTACAGGAATAAATAAAACAAAAACTATCTGAAAGGTCTCATTTAAGAAAATAATTACACGCACATTAGAGAAACAATAATAATGGCAGATTGGATCCTTCTAGCTTATAAATAGTTTGAATTCTTATAAATGGCTTATAATAATCTGCTACCTAGAATTACAGCTGACAGGTCAGGTGGTAGCACAGCAATAACCCAAGGCTTTCTGATGCTGGACTGACATGGAAGGTTCAGGGCTGGTATCCCAAGGCTTCTCTGTGTAAACCAGGTATGTGTGCGAATGTGTGTGCAGAATTGGGCTGGCTGAGGCTGGGGTAGTTCATGATCAGAAGATCTTGTTGGTATTGTCCCCTCCCCAATAGAAATAAATTAAATAAAATTTTAAAAAATATTTACTTTAAATTTCATTTATTATCATTATTTTTCAAATTTGGTGAGAGAGACATAGAGAAAGGGGTAGTGAGAAAGCAAGTCACCAGGTCCAGGACTTGAACCGTGGTGGGCCATGTGGGAGTATCCAGCGCCTTAACCACCATGTCACCTACTGGCCCCCAAAGTCTTATTTAAATAGATTTATGCTTTCTAGATAAAAGTATAGCAAAGACATGGATGTATATATATTGGAAATTTGTTTGGATGGTGCACAAGTGAGGCCTTGAGTAGCAGGTTAGAAGTCTATGTGGCAGGCAATGTGGAGTTGGGATGGGAATGGATGATGGTAACAAAGGTTTCCTTGAAAGGAAAGAATGGGACCAGCAGGTTGTTTGGTTGCTTGTTGGTGAAGGACTGGAAAATAAGAAAGTTGCTTGACAGTGTGAGCAATTTTGCTTTTCCAAGTAAAGGATCTAGTGGAGAACTACTGGATTGTCATTAAAATCAGGACACATTTTTGCATAGAAAAACACAGAAAAAACACATCATGACTTTTCCAACAACCCAATAGAAGAATGAGAAAACAAGGGAGGGGAGATGATCAGGAGAAAGAACTAGAGGAGTAGGAGACTGGAAACCTGAAGGGGAGAAGAGTTAGTTTATAAATGGAGAAAATAGCCTTGAAAATATAAAAGGAACTTCTATGAAAGTTTACAAAAAGGCTACTGAAGTATTCACTTTCAACATTCTTGGAATGCAAACTTAAGTGCAGTGCATCCAAAGCAGGATCCCACATGGTCAACTGCAGTTTTAATGCAGGCCCTGGTGACTCAAAACACATGGCAGGCACGTGTGTATTCACACCAGAATTCTGATGGGATGGAGAAATGGAGAAAAAAGGATTGTGTTGTGAATGTGTGTGCAGAATTGGGCTGGCTGAGGCTGGGGTAGTTCATGATCAGAAGATCTTGTTGGTATTGTCCCCTCCCCAATAGAAATAAATTAAATAAAATTTTAAAAAATATTTACTTTAAATTTCATTTATTATCATTATTTTTCAAATTTGGTGAGAGAGACATAGAGAAAGGGGTAGTGAGAAAGCAAGTCACCAGGTCCAGGACTTGAACCGTGGTGGGCCATGTGGGAGTATCCAGCGCCTTAACCACCATGTCACCTACTGGCCCCCAAAGTCTTATTTAAATAGATTTATGCTTTCTAGATAAAAGTATAGCAAAGACATGGATGTATATATATTGGAAATTTGTTTGGATGGTGCACAAGTGAGGCCTTGAGTAGCAGGTTAGAAGTCTATGTGGCAGGCAATGTGGAGTTGGGATGGGAATGGATGATGGTAACAAAGGTTTCCTTGAAAGGAAAGAATGGGACCAGCAGGTTGTTTGGTTGCTTGTTGGTGAAGGACTGGAAAATAAGAAAGTTGCTTGACAGTGTGAGCAATTTTGCTTTTCCAAGTAAAGGATCTAGTGGAGAACTACTGGATTGTCATTAAAATCAGGACACATTTTTGCATAGAAAAACACAGAAAAAACACATCATGACTTTTCCAACAACCCAATAGAAGAATGAGAAAACAAGGGAGGGGAGATGATCAGGAGAAAGAACTAGAGGAGTAGGAGACTGGAAACCTGAAGGGGAGAAGAGTTAGTTTATAAATGGAGAAAATAGCCTTGAAAATATAAAAGGAACTTCTATGAAAGTTTACAAAAAGGCTACTGAAGTATTCACTTTCAACATTCTTGGAATGCAAACTTAAGTGCAGTGCATCCAAAGCAGGATCCCACATGGTCAACTGCAGTTTTAATGCAGGCCCTGGTGACTCAAAACACATGGCAGGCACGTGTGTATTCACACCAGAATTCTGATGGGATGGAGAAATGGAGAAAAAAGGATTGTGTTGTGATAAGGCCCTGTTTTTTTTTTTTGGGGGGGGTTCTCTCTCTCTCACTGGCAATTAAAACTAAACAGACGAAGAATGAAAGTTTAAGAAGGAAAAACAATTCTTTTCCTATTATTTTCAAAGTTCATACTGAATACTTTAAGAATTCATTTTGTGCTGAGGTCACGGGTATCAGGATCCATTTTTGAAGAGAGTGCCCACTGTTCTTATATATTCTGAGATAATAAGAGAATCTTATACTATAGTTTTGTTGAGGCTCACTCAGAACATGGTATCTCAAAATATGGCATCTTAACAATTGACAAATACTGCACAAACAAGGACATTCTGACCTTCCCCCACCTTCCAGTGCAAGAGCTGGCTTACAGAGTAATCTGACCTATGTTGCCTAAAAGTACATCATAAGATGCTTATTTGAGAAGAGTCTTGCCCTATACCAGGAAGCCAAGAAGACTCTAACAGACAGAACATACTGGGCTCTATCTCTGTCTCTATCCCCTCCTCCACCTAGTTTATAATCGTTAGATCAGATTCTTTTTTTCAAAAAATGTGCCAGGGGGCACTAGTGCTTGTTAGAGAGAGAGAGGAGAGAAGAAAGCACCCCTATATGGAATGGTCACGTTGCAAACCCTTCTCTTGAATTTTTCCCTCCTTTCGGGATTTTGAGCACACATGCACATGTGCATGGCACATTTTCCAAGCCACCAGGTACAGAACTTGAAACGCATGGTTGGCCATGCAGGAACAGGAGGTCCTTTAACTGCTAGGCCAACAGCTGGCCCTCACATTCCTTTTGATCAGCTGTATTTCTCCATAACTACCTACTTCTTTCCTCAGACTTGGCTTAAAAGTACAAAGTTTTGCCCAAGGTCTTCAGGTCTTCATTTCTGAATGTTCTTGTGTCACACAAAACTTAGATAAATAAATTTGTTACACTTTTGTCTACTTAATATGTCTTTGTTACAGGGATGTCAGCTGTGATCCCTATGATGGGTGAGGATCACAGCTGTCTCTTAAACTAATAAAATTCTAATAACGATGTTTTCCTATCATAACTTTCTATTTTTCACCACTTAACAATTTCAGTTCATTAATTCATTACCAATATTCAACTGACCAAAAGGCAACAAGTCTCAGTCGTAGGCATCATTATTTTAAAAATGTTTTCATCTTTCTTTTTAAACCAAATGCCATGTCACTTATAAACTATGAGCATCCAAGCTGCTTCCTTTGCTATTTCTGTTACTTGGGGAATTAAAATGAACAGTTTATATAGCATCTTGTCTCCATAGTAATAAGTATGTACTTGCTTTTTAGTCTTTCATTTAATGAGAAAAGTTTAAAGCTTTCCCTCCTTATTTCTCCCCAGACTGTTCCAGCATGAAATAAAAATCTCCCAGAGCTAGCGTTCTGCCAGCTGTGGATTAACCACAGACAGCCACAGAATGGTCTATACAAATAGTAACCTGGTCAAATAATTAGGCTTCTCACCAACTTCAGACTGAAAATTCGATCTGTGCTCAAATACATCTGATTATAATTTAAGGTACAGAACAGCATGTCTCTGGAGTCTAAATCTGGCCTCATTCCAAATACATGTATGTTATATGTGTGTTTTACTTTAAAATATAACACAGGAAGACTGTCATGTGGATAGTATAACTTGATTTTGTTGGTTTTATAAAGAATATACTAAAACACCAGCTTTTAAATGAGAGGCAAATTCATAATTTAATTCTATTTTTGAAAGGGCTCTTATTTTTCTTTAAATATTTACTAATTAAACAATTTGGGACTTGTGCTCTGTTTTATCCTAAAGATTGTTAAAAGTGATACCAACGACAATTTTTCTTCCTAGATTTATAATCTTGGCTAAGCCAAATGTTCTAGAATACTGGATTACAAAAGAAAACGAAACAAAACAAAACAAACAACAAAAACAAAAACAAAAACAAACCAGTATCATTACTAAAACCATTTTTTCCCCTATTCATTGTCAGGTCTGCAGTAAGAACAGTCCAATAGTTCATGTAACCAACATAATCTTACGCTTCTCCAATAAAGGATTTCAGTCTACACGACAGTTAAATCTGTTAGTCTTTATCCCTATAAGTAATAAAAAGCAAAGCAGAGATTATGGGCCAATTATGATCAAGTGATGCTGGATCCAGATGAAGATTGTAGGTTCAATTCCCCCCAGTTGACCTGTACTCATCAGGCATGTGAGCCCATAATTTTGACTGGCAGGGAAGGCTGAGTGGTGGTGGTAGAAGGATCATGACGTCAAACCCTGTTCAGGATGCTTCCTTTCTTTGTACCTCTCACTCTCATAAAAGAAACTCCCCTCGCCCCCACCGGGACACATGTACTTGCTGGAGAGAATCAGAGACAGGGAAAGTGAGAAATAACCCCCAAGCGGAATGGACATGTTGCAATCCCTTCTCCTCCATTTTCTTGCTGGGATT